GAATCCGACGTGACTTCAGACGTCCACACAACGTTGAAAACTTTAGGAAAACAACGATAGAATACGGTATTTTTTTTCTCGTTTTTTTTTGTTCCATCTCCTTTGCCTGCTATGTGGTTTGTTTGTTTTAAAGACGCATGCTCATTTGCTTTAAAAGTCGTTACAATATCCACGCTAATTAGGCATATGAACTTAACGTGAGTCACAGACTTAATTGATTTCTAACAATGCTTCACAGCATTGTGCCACCTTGACACTTTTCAAGCCTGTACATTCAATGTTGAGAGTTCCCACAATGCAATGACCCGGGCTTGGGAGTTCACAGAGTTCAAGGACGTTGTTAATGCAGTCACGTGGACACCAGAAAGTATGGCTTTTCACTGCGGGGCGTGCACACATTTGGCCGTTGCGTTTGTGAATTAGTCCACTGTTGAAGATGTAATAATATGCGATGAAAGTGGCCAGCAGATGTTTGTAAATGGAATCGAGATCATGGATTACAGTTACACACAGCCTGCGTATGTCGTGTACAACATGGTTTTTGGATTTCTCATTAAACAGTTTACAGATAATAGAAAATAAAGTAAAAATTGCATAAAGATGTATTTAAAAACTTCTTGTAACGATTTGCAGTTAAAATCAAAACCACATATACGACCTTGTTTTTTTTGCACAAAGTCCACACAAGTGTATCGAAACATTCATACTGAAGGTTGGCATGTACCTTACTATACAGTCGTTATATTCCAAGATAACTTAGTTTTTGTATTATCCATATGTACTAGTATTCACTAATACATGTGTGTTTACAACAAAAATTTTTGTGTTGCATAACAGCGATGGAGTCAAACAAAATGTGAACGGAAATACAATTCCGAAATGGTAAATGCAACAATGATCGCTTTCAATGATGTAACTTTTTGTTTCATGTCATCATTCGAGTTCAAGCTTAGCAATCTTTAATGAGGCCAATGTTCATGATTTATGTGGGAAATGTGTTGCAATGACCATGCACTTGCTTTGAGAATAAACGGGTTAGTAATAACAGAGCAAATAAATAATGTGGGTTACAGAGAGCTGTATGGAGCCATGAACTACTGAATTACATAACGTTTTAAGCTTTAGTTTTTTTTTTATTTCACTACTTTAGAAGCCCAATGAAATGTATTATCCCTTTTGCGAGCGAGACCTCGGAAATCATACGTACTTAGAGTCGATTACAGCGTATTTGTGGGTAATGATCCGAATGAGGCTTGTATGTATGATGCAGCACACAATTACCTACACTTCCAGGAACCTAGCCAGACACGTGTGAAAATTACTTGGTTAATATAATGCCTCGTAAACCGAATCGTCAACAAGAATGATGGCCACTAGGTTAGCCAAAAAAACGTCTAATTTACATTACAACTGCCATATGCATGCAACGGTGTAACGTGTAAGAAAAATAAATCCTGCTATGGTCTCAATTAAGTTTGAGATCTGTGCATAGGATGGCGTGTCTGTGGGATTGTGGTGAAGACTAGTGGAGACCACCCACTCGCAAAAGAAAACCCTTTTTAGTGCGGCCTGGAAATGGCAATCCGTGCAAGACAATGTGCAATTGTTTAAGAGGCATGCCTGGATTTATGGTGTGCCAACACTTCCACAAGTGCGGTGGTAGTTCGTTTACTTTGGTTGCGTTTGGAATGCATTTTTCTATAGTGTCTACGGTGTGTTTAATAGCAGATAAACAATACATTACCACCGTTACGACTGTTGCATTATGATAAATGATAACGATGACACGTGTATTTTTTTTAAGCCAAAAAAATCGGTTTCGTAAAAACTGTTAAGGTTTGTTTTTTGTCAATGGAATTGTATATGTTGTATTTGAATGCTGCTGTATATGTTGGAATGCTCGTGTATGTGTGAGTGACATTTAAGTGGGGAGCGGTGGTGTCGCGCTTGGTGTGCTGAACTACAAACGCGGCGACCAGAGTTCGAGTCCCGCTTACGGCCAACACCAGTGATGCTTATCAAAACCGGTTCTGAGCCTCCCCTAAGTCGACTCAGCCTCAAATGAGTACCTGGTACCATGTGTAAACATTGCCACTAGGGAGACAAAGGCGGTTTGGCGTGGTGCTGACCCCTTGTGTGCCGTGTGTCGGCTTCCATAGGTGTTCGCTAACAACACTTGCCCCTGTTAAGGCTATCGGGGGATCTTTGTGACATTTAATGGTAATTATTTAAACATATACGAGTTAATTTTAACTTTTAAGTTTAGTTATACTCTAAGTGTTGTAATCCAAGGTGATTATTTATTTTTCATTGCGTGCTAAGCAGTCAGTGAATGGTAATTTTTTTATTTTAGCAATGCATCTACTAATGTGATTTTATGCAATTAATTGTGATTAAACGAAACTTATATACACGGGATATGTCGTTTTAAAATATCAACACCATATGTTTCTTATATTATCGCATACTCACGTTATTGTCTCAGAAGACATCTGCTTATAGTTTAATAGTCATATCCAGGTGTTTCCAATGCGTGCAGTTTTTTTTTACTGTCGTTGAAGGATTGAATGTATACCTTTTCAATGTGTCGTGTCCTTATGCATTACGTCCCTGTCTTTCGATCTTTGAGCCATCGTAATTTGTGTTACTTTTAAGAAAGCATTAACAATAGGGCTGATGGCTGATGGGATAATGCCGAGAGGTGAAATTGTGGACAAAATATTCACAAATCAAACCTTTAATGATAAAACAAGACGAAACTACGCAATTGCTGATATACGGTCAAATTGCAAAAGAAAATGTATAGCGTAATTATCAGCCTGAAGGAAAAGACAATTGACAAAAAAATACGTTACGTATATTTAAATAAAAAGGGGGTTTAATGTCCACTGAATGCTATATCTTTGTGAGACACCAAATGAGTTTTGGAATTTATGAAAATCGGATTCGTGGATTAAAAAACTTAACATGGCACGAAAGAATCAACTCGCATGCACATTTTGTGAGTGTCACAATGTATGTGTGTCACCATGCATCTGTGTCACCAAGCATCTGCGTGTCAACATGTATCTGTCACTATGTATCTGTGCTTGTCGTCATGTGTCTGTCACCATTAATCTTTGTGTGTCACCATGTATCCGTGTGTGCCACCATATGTGTCACCATATTTCTGTGTGTGTCACCATATATCTGTGTGTGTCACCATGTATGTGTGTGTCACCAAGGTATCTATGTGCATCACCGTGTGTCTGAGTGTGTCACCTTGTGTCAGAATGGTGCATCTCCGATGAGCACAGTTGGCTATGTAAGGTAAGTTCAACATACATACATGTATGGCTTCAGTCACCGCTGCAGATTAGGAAGTCAAAATCCAACAGCCAATGTGATGCTGCTCATTTCCATTCGTGGCCCTGAGCTGTTGGTGCATATTCCACATTCCCATGGTGGTGCCCAGTCGTTGGACAATCTTCACTTCCTACAAAGTCGTACCGATGTGATCAACCCTGTCATGACAATAGGCTTAAGTCAACTCTCGAATAGTAAATTAGTTCACAATCTGATGTAAATATTCTACATGGTAGACGTTTCGGAGGCAACACAAGCTTCCGTCTTCAGGATACAGTAATTTTGCTGTGACGGTTCCACCTGAAGACGGAAGCTTGTGTTGCCTCCGAAACGTCGTGATTTTATTTATTGAAATTTTATTTTTTACCTACGTGACTTTACCGAAAAAACCAAGAGTATGGACCCTTGCAGTCACGAAAACTTCAAATCTAGAATGTAGAATATTGTGGAATATTTATATCGGATTGTGAACCTGACTAGACAAGCTTTATGTAAAATACTTAGAAAGCTTTTTTTTGCATGACAAATAGCATTTTCTCTGTCTAGCATAGGGAAGTATGTGGAAATCACACGTGCAAGTTTAAGTCTGTGAGCCACGTGATAGCTTCGGGAGTTGCGCAACTAACACCGCTCAGTCCGCCGGAGAGCGAGCGTAGGATGCAGTTTTTTGTGATATGGTCCATGGCTTGGTTCGGGTGGCCGCAGTCACACTGTGGGTTGTCTTTAATTATCCACTTGTGGAGGAGGTGTGCACAGCTACCAGTTGCTGGTCTGAAGCGGTTTCGTGGAGCACCATAGTTTTCTTGGCAGAACAAAGCCGTGCGGAGCAATGGAGGGGTCGTCTGTGAGGCTTTTATTTGTAAAGCCTCACAAATAGCATTCAGCTTGGAAAATAAGTTTGTGTTCTGACTTAGGCAACAATTTTAAAGTGTATGGCATCCTTTAATCCATGAGAGATTATGGTTTTTCAGATTTCCCTTTTTAAAAGGATTTATATTATTTGAACATTTCCTGTTCCGACTGACACCGAGTGGCAGAATTTTCTAGAATGGCTCACGAAACCCCCATATACATAGATGCAAGCGCAAATACAGGCATAATTAAGGCAGATGCAGGGATAGTATTGCTGAATGGAGGGATAGAAATATATGGAGAGGGATTGTGTCAAAGAGAAACGTAAAAGTACAGAGACAGTGATACAGATAACTAAAATTGTGAAACATAAAAATACAAAGCGAGACGCAAGAGAGGCATTCAATAAGACACACTCAAGAGACTGAGAGACCAATTTGCAGAGAGAGAGAGTGAGAGTGACATGGAGACATGTGCACTTCTTCTTTCAGATGGCTGATGTAGACGCAGAGCACCAGCTACAATACTCTTTGGTTTTTTCGGTGAAGTCACGTAGGTAAGAAACACAATTTTAATTAATAAAAGTAAAATAAAAATCACGACGTTTCGGAGGCAACACAAGCTTCCGTCTTCAGGTGGAACCGTCACAGCACGATTGCTGTATCAAGCTCTTTACTTGATACAGCAATTGTGCTGTGACGGTTCCACCTGAAGACGGAAGCTTGTGTTGCCTCCGAAACGTTGTGATTTTTATTTTACTTTAATAAATTGTAATTGTATTTCTTACCTACGTGACTTTACCGAAAAAACCTAAGAGTATGAAACCTTGCAGTCACGAAAGCTTCAAATCTAGAACAGCTACAATTTAACATTCCGGTGGTCAAGCAAGATAACCAGGTCGGGAGTAGCGAAGTGTATCACTGTGATGTCTCCTTCGTTTTTGTGGATCGGGCATTGCGTCGTAATACGTGTTATGGTCTGTTCTGGGTGACCATAGTCGCACACCAGAGAGTTTCTAATTTTCCATTTGTGCATCAGGTATCCGCATCTGCCATCGTTTGTGTGGATGCGGTATTAAGTGGCCCATGAGCTTTATGAAAGAGAAATTTGAAATGGAAGACATGAAAGATACGAGAGAAGCACAGGGAGAGAAATAGGAAGGAGACGGAAAGATAGACAGTGACATGGAAGGGGATGGAGAGAATCAGGCATGGAGCCTCTATAATGATGCTCAATGTGACACTAACATGTGGACAGAATTTCTATAAAATTTAGACTTTTATTTTATTTTACCAGGTAAGGCCCACTGAGCCCTCTTTCAGAAGCGACCTGGCCACAAATGATAGCTGAACGAAGTGGCTTATCGTGCAGAAATGTATTGCAGCCAAATACTCAAAACGCATGTTGATTCTAAATATGGAGGAAACAACGGAGGACCCTTATATACATGTTCTTAAATTGAAGCTTTTTTCCCCATAACACTATATTGGAAACAAGTCCAGTGAACCTGATCATCCATAAATAAAACTAGCATACTCTGCATGGAAATCAGTTCATGCAAACAGGTACTAAGCGACAACAAAAATACGTATTTTGGTTTGAAAAATATATGTAGTTTACTCTAAAGTTTCCACCAATTTAAGCACTATTCTTTAACGAGAGTATGGTGTTCCACAACGTTCTGTCCTCGCCCCTCGGCTCTTTTGAACACATCTCCTGCGTGGAAACATAATCTGCAATCATTTATATGCTGATGACACCAAACTAAATATTGACTCCACCAGCCACTCTCACATTCTGCCTTGACACAGTCTCATCTTGGATTTTGTTGTATTCCGTCAGATAAATGTTGCCAAAACTGAAAAACCCCTTATCAGAAATACTCCAATTTGAGTATTTGTCTCTTGAGGCCCTGACATTACACTGGTGAATAGTGTGCACCATCTTGGAATTGTCATTGGATTCCAAGGCTTCTTCTCTTCCAACATATTTCTTCAGGACCTCATAACTCCATCTGTCCAACATCTTGTGCATCTGCCATTTCCTTACACCCCAACTTCACGATTGTAACTCCCTCCTCTACGCATTCCATACTCCTTCAGCTTATCCGATATCGTGCTGCTAGACTTCTCACCAACATCTGTCAATGGGACCACACTGCCCCGAATACTCCAATCGCTCCACTGGCTCCCAATTCAACCCTGGATCAATTCACGATCGCACTCAACGTCTTCAAGGTTCTTTATGGACTTGCCCCTGGCTACCTCTCCCCTCTCATCTCACACCACTTTCCTCCATGCACTTGCCACTTCAGTAATCAAGGCGTCTTTTGAAGCCCCAAGTCAACCTTTGATCAGTAGGAGTCATTCATTCTCCTCCGTTGACCCTCATAGTCTGTCTGAAACTTCCTTCCACACAGCCATCCAACTTCCTTCTTCATATTCAAGACCAGACTCAACGACTGTGAGCCTCTCTCTGTAAAGCGCGTATGCCCACTGTTTCTGTAGAGTGTTGCATTTAGACACTGCATGCATCCAAATTTGTATTGGTTTATTATTTCCTTCGCCGGTTATATATTCGTGATGGCCACGTAACTACATTTCGCAAATTCTACACGTAGTTTTATACACCATATCTGCATGAATTCAACCAACATAATTTGAATATTGAATTAAGATGCCGTGTGACTACTAAAAAGAAAAATATACAAGCACAGTAAACATTGTCTACAATTCTTCAACAGTGACCTCACTATTATGACCCACATTGCTGCTAAAATACCACCATTCACATTCACATCCATACAAGTACACTTGCACAGATGACCTGATAGCTATATACACACTCACACATGGACACCCACTTGCATTAATATGCATGCGTGAACTGCATTCTTTTAGTGTGGTTAAAATGCTAGCATTGTTGAAACATGTGCTGAGAGGATAGATGTTTTCTGCAGAGAGTTATCTCACCACCCTCTCCAATAGGGTTATATTATTGGAGAGGGTGGGATAACTCCACGGCAGAAGCCTGCTCTCATATTCGGTACAGGCGCAATCCTGCAGTTTCTTGGACATGCCACTGCCGGCAGAGTGGTCTCCACTACAGTACAGGGATATCTAGGGAGGACCTTTGGAGGGTATTTTGGCCTACTCTTGGAAGACGTGGGAATTACCCACACTCTGCCCTGCCACGTGAAAAGTGCTGATCGACTAAGTGCGGTGTTGCCGTTTACACTGCTAGGTAAACACGGGCGGTTAGATTGATTAAACGAACAGGCAACCTCTGGATTGCAAATCCAGCGTGATAGCCATTACACCATAACGACACCCTGCTCTTACATATTATGAAAAAATAATCCTGTCACGGGATAGAGAGACTGAAACTGTTGTAAAATAGTACAATTTTTGGATGAAATTATACACAAGTGTGGCTTGAATGTTCTGCCACTTTCATGAAAGACACCGAGGTAGTTGAATTGAGGTAAGAACATTCACTGATGTTCTACACTCAATCACCTAAAATACTGGGATGATTAGGAACATGATTTGTGATGCATAAAATCCACCCGAATAACGAAAACATTCTCACAGGTCACCTGGAACGTTCCTGCAAAGCAGAATGAAACTCGCCAAGTTTGCTTGGTCAACATTTGTTCCGCAATCTCTACGATTCCAATAGATATGTGTGCTTTTGTGTAAGTTTCGTAAGGTAACTGGAATAAGCACTTAAACACAAACATCCAAACCAACATTAAATAATATTGGTAGTGCTGTCAGTTGGAGTAGTTTACTCATAATTGGAAGTCAACCCAGCACATTATCCCCCCCCCATGACCAATAAAATCAGTAACCACAAAGTAAAAATACATCAGTGGTCGACCTGAGGAGAACCTGGTCCCCACGATGGGAATATGGAATTTCCACCATTTGTTAATGGCTGCCAATGGAAATGAGTGCCATCCCGAATATTCACTGCAGACACTTTTGAGACACTTTTGAGACACTTTTACTTGACTTGATGTAATCTTTCTTTGGCAATGATCTGGAAAGCATTCAATGAAAAGCCAGGCGTAGTAACTATTCTCTTGTTAAAATAGTGTTATTTTCTGAAAAATGTATGCAACATAATTTCGCTAAAAAAAACGTTCCTAATCATACATGGTATCTTTTCTTTGCCCAAGTGAACTTTGGATAATAAAACCGTCCACAATTTGGTTTGAAAATTTGAGGTAGTTTAGCGTCATGACTTAAAAAAACAACGGTTATAAAAACATTACAGTAGACACTTGACTCTGTATATATATATATTTTTCTTTTGGCTACTCTAAATAATAAGAATTAAAAAAACATTTTACATCATAGTAACATTCGGACATTCTGATGCTGTTGTAGATGATATAGTTTAACGTTGTGTCCAAAAAAAGATCCACTCATTTAAACAATTCCAGTCAATATGTATCAGTGAGTAACAACATCAATAAAACAAAAGGCATGTGTTAAACCCTGAAGAGATGAACAGAAGACACGGTTGTATTGAATGTTAAGTCCGGAAAATGCTTGTATTATTTAAAAGAGCACTCCTGGAGTGCAATTACGGGCATGTGAGACTCCCCCCAAAGACCTGAGATGCCTGTAGTTGTTGACATGAGATTCTGGTGTGGGATCTATGGGTTGTGGTGAATTAGAGCTGAGGTAGTGATGACGTGAAGGGTGTCGTGTTTGTTTCTGGAGCAGGGGCTCAAGCCTGCCTCTGCGAGTCGCTGCAGTGAAGCTGCTCGCGAGTCGTGGCAACCAACTGCCTCCACATGCCGTTCAGAAACAGAAGCCTCCGCAGTTGAGACTCCACTACTCTGAGCGTGCCTGTGAGGAGCAGAAAGTTCGCTGAAGTCTTTAGTACACAAAGCTGGAGCTGGAACTCCAATATCTCCATTGCCATTGCGGACGTCGCCCTGAACCTCGGTGCGGGCAGTGAAAGCACAGTGTTCTGTTACACTGGAAATGTCCTTAACTGGATCCTGAGCACGGCCAATCGCAGCGTCGCTGTAAGAGTCTTCAGAGTTGAAAAAGTCCGCTTCATCTGGCAGCTTCTGAAATGCGCATGGCGATGTCTGGTTGTCTGTGACCTCCATCTCGGAGTACTCCGATGCTCCTTCAGCAGTGTTTGTCTGTCACAACAAAAAACATGATTAGAAATGCAGATTTTTTTTCAAAACTCTCTTAAATTATTTTGCAACTTTTGAATAGGCTAACAATATTACCCATGGACACGCCTATCATATTAAAATTGCCAGGGCCTGCAGAGGCTGCTGTGTTTCACCGCTCAGTGTGGGAACCTCTCCAGCAAAAGCATTCATTTTTCCAGGAGGAAATAAAGCATACAAAATAGTATACTTCTTACTGAAACGGTGGAATTACCTTTGATATATATAAATCCAAAGTTATGCAACCGAGCTTGTCCAACTATTTATTATTATTATTCTTTTATTGTGGCTATGCTGGGGAAATTAAGTTTCACGTGGCTGTCCAACACAACTATGGTCATAGTCATTGAGAAGGTTTCATTTGATCAACTCCTCATTTTATGAAATGAAGAATTATTTAAGAAATGTTGCATAGCAGTATGCCCCGTGTTTCAGAGATTGGCTGCAGAAACCCTTTTATAGGATTTTCCTCTTAATCCTTTACACAGCAGGGGTCGCAATTTATCACACACCCTGCTGTTGGATTGTTTGCCGCACAACAATAAAAAAATATTTGTAATGCTTAGACATGGAATTTAGCCATATTGCGCACTATACCAAATTGGATATGACTTTTTGGTGCAGTCATCAACTTGTTACACTTGTGATCCCAGTTTTATCGCAATGTGGCTACAATGATTCAAACCCAGGTTATTGTCGCTGATGACTCTGCACTCTGACCTCCTGACCACCTCTTGAATATTGTTGCTGTTGTAAATATAACCGTTTGGATGAGGGCACATGTTTAAAAGTACAATTGTACAAAGCTGTCCCAATGAACTACATGGCTTCCTCGTCTATTGTGTCCTTCCTTTATACTGCTCCTCTCTTCATGCCTACCACGCTTTTCCTACCCACTATAGCCTCGTGTCTGAGACAAGGAAAATATATTTCCACTCGACGCAAATCTAGGTGGCTTCAGAAGAGTGGTGATTGGGAAGCAAGGTGAGAGATTGTTCAGAGTTTCAAGACTTTTTACAAATGTAGGCAGTGTGTTCTAGGAATGAGCAGAGTGAATAATTATTGCTTTTTAAGTCATCATACTGTTCATAAAATGTATTCTCTAAGGATGAACATTGCATCTGCGGGAGTGGATGTGGGATCAAGGAGTGCCAGTAGGCTTTAGAAACTGTTGGTCAATTCCTTACTGTATATATAATGTGGAATGTAATGAAAGCTCCAATTAGGATATGCTATATGCGCACCTTTATATTCCGTAATATTTCACTGCATATTTATAAACGGGCTCAGTTTAATATTTGAGGAAGGCAAAAAGTGTTATGGGGTCACCATGATGTCACAAGTGTTTGTAGAGTCAAAGCCCCAGATCGCTTGTAACTGCCTCTGACATCATGCATCTGCTTGACGAGTTGCAGGGACAGACTGAGCCCACCAATACGTACGGCACCTACTCATCTAGCATCCAGGACACATTAACAATACAACCACAATGAGGTATAGGGCACCACTACCTTATCCTCGTGGTTCTAATCGTTCATTATTAATGCTCAAAGCTCAGACAGCTGCTACGAAGGCCAAGACTTATGCAGTATTTCCATGGGAAATGAGCCAACTTGGGTCATGAACCAGGGAAGTAGGTTGGTGTCAGGTTGGCCTTGCCAAGCCAACCTGACACCAACCGGGCTCTGGTGCTGACACCAAGTGGGCCGGGAGGCTCCATTTCACACAGGGCCACACACTTTTGACAATGGCCATGATGTCAGTGGTGCCTCTCTCTATCTCTCTCACTTACGTCAACTTCGTTTTGACTTCAAGCCTGTGGTTTTGTAAAAATGAAAATGGCAGAAAATGTACAGAATTTATACGTTTTGTTTGATATAGCCTCACCTAACCTGATTGACTATTTATTCACAACTCTGCACCTATCAGTACATCATCCTGTTTACGTTATTGAAAAGAAGAGGTGGCTGGGTGGCTTGGCAGAATATGGAGCCAGCACCGCTGAATACCTGGGTTCAAACCATTCATTAAACCAGCACCTGTGAATAAACAGTCCTCAAGTGCAGCAAGTTGATGGCCTCAACCCAATTACTGCTGACTGCACAAATAATCACATCATTATTACCTTTGTCTTTTCACTCAATTTGACACGATTCTGACTCTAAACTTAAAACATTTTGGTTTGATCAGCATGCGACAAACATTCTTAGCAGGACATTAACAGGTGTGCCCTGAGTGAAAAGAAAGGTAACTTCAGAAATAGATCTGTGACATTATCTCGCAGGGTCGTACTCTGACACAGGAAAACGCACAGCAAGCTGGAGGGTTCTCAATGGAAAATTTGTAATCTCATAATATGATGCTGATAGCACAATCTGAATTTAATTAGGGTAAATGTGAGACCCTGTAATTGCTCGCTCACACCACTGTTGGTAGAAGAGAATCCACTATACGGTGGTTATAAGAGCCCCTCCAGAGGGTATTTGGCCTACTCTTTCATACTGGTCAGACGTCTTAGTGCAGTTCCTGGATCGCTGAGCCTCTTGCCAGCAGCCATGGAAATGTCGCATTAGTAATTTTAGGGTTTAACGTTCTTGAACGATGCCTGCACAGCCATAATAATCCACTCACTCTCTTTTTAGCAAGTTGTACTGCATTGCCTCCAGACAAAGTGGAGGCACCTCGTAAAGAATGGTTAGTCAGCTTATATATTGCCATAGCACAAATGTTCAGCTTTGTTAATCAAAAATATGGTGATAAAGTTCTACTGAACCACTCATTGACCTGTTATCCTATGAATTGAAGGTACCTTGTATATACTATCCAGACAAAACTGTATGATTGATCAGACTTACATCATGATGTGTGACACTATTTTAGAACAATTTATACACAACATAACTATGAAGGCATCCATTTATAATTGTAAATGGAAATAGACAGAACAACGCATACATGTGGTGATCCTGCATTGGCAGTGGTGCACAAATATATGCAACACGAAAAAATCCAACACATTCATCAATAACACTGTGGCGTTAACAGGAAAATATAAAATAGGTGATGTGTTGGGCTATGCATCGTCTTCATGGCACGTACAAAAATGAACGTCATTGCATGAAATTTTGCCTTTTATATATTTGTACTTGTAAGGCAACAGCGTTATTGAGAAAAGTGTTTTTAGCCCAACGAGCCTTACCCAAAATAAACTCACCGATATATATATTAAGCTTAACACACACTATGTAGTACAAGTATCGAAGGAATGTATTTATTAAGAGAGGCAGTAAGCTTATGTAGCAGTACGCCCGCGTTTGTGCCGTGACCTTTGCACCCACGTCGACTCATGGGATTTACCTTAATCAGCTGCTGTGGGCTGTCCAAACTACGATATTGAGAGGTGCTCATTAAACTCTGCAGCTCTGCTTCCACCGCGGCTGGATGCGTGGCTCGCAATTGAACAAACAGAGTGTCGGGGGTTGTTATTCCTCTTGCTGCGCTGCAGAATGGGATTGCATGACCATTGCTGTGTGGTGCCATCAGAGTCTCCAGCTCATAGGCCTCAGGGGCAGCTTCTGCTGCCGATGCCTCCTGCTTCCCATGTTGCGCAGAGGGAGAGCCGGCCATCCTTCGCGGCACAGATGACGACGATGCCCTGGCATGCCAACATGGGACGGGGAAGAACAAAGGCACGCGTGATGTCAGATCATTCGTGTATCTTGGGTCATCATCCTACTTGTATTATAAATTATCCATCCTAATTTACTGTCAATGAAAGAAAAAGGGATTGAATCGCAAAGAGATTAGTGCGCTCGCCATTGCAACAGATTTCCTAAAATTTATTAATTGATTAATGGAGCAGCCAGGTTATATCTGCAAGCATAGCAGAACTCTTATTATCCATCATTCTCTTCAGCAGAAATCGTATTATCCACAGCCATCAGGGTATCCAAGGTTCTTCCCATTATCGATGGATTCCCAAGCAGTCATATGTATTTTTGATTAAAGAGAAACGTTTAATCACATTTGTAATTGAGCCATCTGTATTGTGGCCTCGCAAGCTATGAAATGCAATGGGTTTCCAGGCATGCGGCAAAGGGCAACTTACCAGAGAACCCTAAATGAGGAATTATATCCATGTTGAAAAGTACATAATAAATTAAGGATTCAGAATGGAGTCGGCGTTTATCTCACTTGAACATGTGTACAGTTCACACACACATTGGAAGACACCTACGGTTAGCACGATTGGCAACGTACAGTGCAAAATAAGTTCAACATACGGAACATACAAGTCGAGTCCTACCTGCTGTTCCCAGTATGACTGCAGTGGTGCAAGTCGCTGTGCACCCTTCGTGTTGTGTTTATCATGTGAGTGTAGGCTAGGTAAACACCAATAAATACAGATTTAGACATGTTATCTAATCTCAAGGGAGAAGAGGCAATAAAAGGTGAACTTCCCGGTAAGACATTTTACAAGCAGCTCTGGGAGGTAGTGATTAAAGAACGTATTTTATTTATTAGAAACAACTGCTGTTGTTGCTGTTGTTTCTTGCTGTAGCTGTCCCACCTGATGACGATTGCTTGTGTTGCGATCGAAACGTCGTGATTTGTTTTATTTTATTTCTACCTACGTGACTTTACTGAAAGAACCAAAGAGTATGGATTCCTGCAGTCACGAAAGCTTCAAATCAAGAATGAACCAGAGTCGTGCTTCGTCCATATTTGACAACGGGGATGGGGTGAATTCAGCATCAACGCATTTAATCCATTCATATTCTAAAACGTTTGTTAAATATTTAGAGTTAGGCAGCATCACAGAACATGTGTGACTAAGAAGCAGTGTGCCAGACGGCGAGGACTGTGCATTATTGGAGGTGATCTGAGGAAAGATTATGTCTGCAAGTTTCATATCCAGTGGCCTTGTCTCTCCACATCACAGATGCGTTTTACCATCCTTTTAAATCAAATATTTTAATAATAATTTACTATTTTACCCACCCTGTATTTAGAAAACCCATCTATTTAAATAATGATGTGCATGTAAAAACGAGCTGACCACCTGGGGATGTATTAAAAGTACATTTGGTAAAATAAGCCGGGAATTAGGAAGATGTTGGAAAATTGCTAAAGGGAAGCCTGCTGTGACCAGCTTAGCTGGAACAGTCAGCCGTGAACTTTGATCCTGCCGCCATTATGATTGTAAAATATGCAGCAATGTAACAATTAAACACCTTAAATAGTACCGTCTGTATTATCGGCATTTTATATCAATGTTACTCACAAGTTTATGGTTAACTCAATGAAAAAAACACAATGTATACTCAATGCTACCTTTGATGGAGGTCATATTTTATCATGAGTTCTTAAATTTCACATGTTGAAGTCGAATTAAAATATCCAGGAATGTTAGGAGATTATTGATAGTATTTTAAGTGTCGTTTGCTTGTAAAATATGAATCGTCTCATGAAATTACCATAAATGCACAAAATTTCTAATCTCAGAAGCTTCGCAGGTTGAGCCTGGTTAGAACTTGAATGGAACATTTTTGGGGTATACCAGCTGATGGAAACTTGGACAGGCTGATGGCAGTACAGCTGTGGACTTGTGAATATATATATGCGTGGTGCTCTTGAGTGCTACCTCCCTATATACACACCGGTATAATCCGAGTCCTCTCATGTCCGCCCACATGCCAAACACTCGTCAATAGAATTGGCAAAACATTCCAATGCAGGACACTCTTCGAGGAAAAATTCTGAGATTCAGTGGGAGAAGTGAGGGCATTGCTACACACTGCTATAATGAATCATATTCACCGTAAGCAAAAGAAAACACAGCAAAATATATATATGGACATCCAAGTTAAGTTTAAACAAACGTACACTTGAGGAAAATAAAGATTTTATTTTTGAATGTGTCGAAAGCTAACTACGTATGTGATTGCTGACTCATTCACATACCCCCCGCTTTCCTATCTGGATTTTATGATTCTTCGTCGTCACCCAACTCATGCACACGTTAACCTGTTGTGCTCGTTGACCTGTCACCATTGTGGCTTTTGTGCATATCACTTTGCCCTCCATGTTAACACCCAAGAGTGCCGATATGCCTGTTTTCTAGCATGTTACATGTTCATGCACCAATCGACCACTCTTATGCTGTCTCTGCAGCTTCTATTTGTCAATCCTTGATCTTTGAAACCTCACCTCAGTTTGTGTGTGCACTGAGTAATGGAGGCACACTTTTACCTTGTGCGATGTTGACTGATGCATTATTTTTCAAAAGGCGAATGGTCAAGTCTTGTTATAAAATATATCCATGGCATCTAAGCATGAGTCGCAATATCTTTCGTATCATCACGTATAAAAAAATATAATACTGGCAGTGTGGAGCTATATTTATGTCTTTACGCACGCGAATAAAAATATCGTACACGTATTTAACGTGAGGATAACATCACTTATCTGACCAGCGGCCCTATTATCCATGACTCCTAATATCCACGGGGTCTCGCCGAATCAGCAATTTTTTGCATTATGCGTGGTTTGCAGAGAGACATGACGACTGGTGTTTGCCAAGGGGGAATGCCATCACCTACTTTTGTTCAACGTCACGTTTGACTAAGTGTTCAATAAAACTATGCCTAATGTGGGCCTGAGAAACTTGGATCATGAGGAAGATGCAGCTGTTAGCTAAAACTCTGGCTTAGGAGTTTTAAGTGCCGAACATAGACACTGGGGCCTGAAAAAAGGGGAGCTTTCAACAAATGATTTGATGGAATTCATTACTGTTATTGCAGATGTTTGATATAGCTTATAGCTTTGGAATTTAACACGAAGAAGAGGTGTGGTTTAAATAAAATCAAATCGCGTTAAACGTGCCTCACATCATCAGATCTCAGAAGCTAAGCAGGTGCAAGACTGGTTATTCAATGAATGGTGACCGCTAGGTGGTGTAGACATAGGGCTAGAAAGTGGTGTTCCGGTGCGGGTTTTGGGTTTTCTCCGGACTCTCGCATATCCTTTCACATGCCAAACACTCCTTTAAAGTTTTGACCAAACATCCTAATAAAAACGAGTCCTACGACTCAGTGAGGCTTTATTGATCAAATAATAATCAGTGCCACAACAAAAATTATGTGTGAACACAGTGGGCAGTAATTACAATTATAATTCATTAGTATTACTATAATCCATTATTCATTATTATTCCTACATGAAAATAGTGCACATTGTGTTTTTTTATTATATAATATATAAAAAAACGTTTTTGTGTGCCTTACAAAGGAGATTTAGTATTGTTGAGTGTTTGTTTTTGTGTTTTCTCTGACCCAGTTTTCACGGGGCTGGTGATGCAGGTCCTGCAGTAGCCTGGTAGTTTTGGGGAAACATCACCAAAGGTCATGGTAAAGGCCCTACATGATCACTCACTACGTTATCACTCACTGCATTATCACTCACTACATTATCACTCACAAAACGTATGCTATTCTGTCGTGGTGTCAGAAGTAACTCCCAAAAATGAAAATTCAAACAATAATCATCATTCCCAGCTCTTTTGTTAACCCACTGTTGGATGAAGCCCTCCTTATATCATGTCAGTCACGGGGACTGTTCTTACCATGCTTCATTATGTTGGTCAATGTGGGGCGGTGAGTGAAGCACCCGAAACCGGTTCAGACATCACTCCCCATTGCTGTTGGCCATGGCCAGGAATCAAACGTATGCTGCGGGTTCATCACAGTGCAGTTTGCAAAGTACTGTAAACCAATGCTTCATTCAAGTTGAAACTTACCCACAGCTCAATGGTTTAAAAATCTAACAATTGCCCCCATTTGCCTACATTTATGCATGTCTACCTTAAAAATGCTATTATTCCTCAATCACATGGTTAAATAAAGGTCATTACATGATATAAAAAATATATACTTATTCTATTGCCAGTGATCCAGAGGTTTCTCCAAATATTTAAGCAACTTCAAAGGTCTGCAGTGGCACCTACAATTAACTGTAAATAATGTTCAGTACAAGCAAAGTGCATACATTGAAGACTCTCCCTGCAGGTGCGGGATAACAATTGTTTGCAGAGAACACTTCCAATATACGGCATTTTCTCGATGACAGTTCATTAATGAGAAGAAAAATACAATGGTGAAGTGGAAGCTGACTTCCAGTCATCAGCAACTATGTAAATGCAGGACTGCATTAACATAGTGGATTTGTTTTGCCCCACGGATATGAATTCAATGTCCAACTCAAAGCGAGGTCCAGGTGTTTACTATGGCTCTGTTCTCGTGTATCCTTTCAATAAAATAACAAGAAACATCTCTCGATTCGAGAGCTCTCTGATGTCATTTCGGGGTTGTGCCGTGCATTGCTCAACATCATGTCACGTGGCACAACTCGAAAACAGATCGGAGAGCTACGCAGCACAGCCGTGAACACCTACACAGTGGTGTAACTCTCAACATCACTTATTGTAGAGGCCGCACGCTGAATTAGACACGACATTTAATGGGATTAAAGTTAGGTGAGGTTTCAGCTAACCCGAGGGTGGGCAACCACAAAAATCCATGGAGTGCACAGTTCAATGTTTAACAGAAGCATGTTGAAATGCAGGATGCATTTTCATGTTATAGTGAATATAAGGCT